CACCGCGAAACGTGAAGTTTATTTGCTAGGAAAATAAGCGCTCTCTCTAAAACAAGGGTGCGCTCAGCTGGTGATGGGTCAGGCCCGTTGAATCAATCCACACAATCAAATCACTGTGCTTTTTTACGCATGCTTACGCAATTCCTTTTTAGATATACGTGGTAGCTCAGCCATTATGATGGATCACTGTGGGCTTATATAACTCCAAAAAGCAAACACGCTCTGCTAAAGGCACATCAAAGACGTCTTGGCCATCTCATGCAACATGTGTCTCACTCATCCTTGTTCTGTCGCTCCCTCAATGGAAGCCCAAAGACGTTCTTCTTTTCCTGAAGGGGACTGGATAAGCTGGCATGTAATCCCCCTTCATATACACTGACTTTTCCACCTGTATACCGATTCTGTGCCTCTGAGCCAAGCAGCTCAGGCCTGTAATGAGAGCTCATTCGGCCTGATTTATCGTCTACCTGTATTGTTCTCCGCATCTTCAAAGCAGCCCTTTGAGACATGTCCTCAAAATGAAGCGGCAACCACAGATAACACACTGACTCATGCGACTTACTCACATCGAGGGGTTGAAAGAGTGAGACATTTTCTGGCACGGGATGGAGTTTCGTTTTTGGGCCTTTTGTGATTTCTTTTTTTCATGGGTGTGTTTTTTACTGTTTTCGTCACCATGCTGGGAAACCGTAGAGGGGTTTGAGTAAATGCGGTGTTAATCATTAATCGCCTGTTCTCTATACTCCAACAGGGTTTTTTAGTCATGGCCTGTGGTGCCAGGGTCTGGTTTCATTAATTATTAATGTCTTCTTTACTTTCATACTAGGGTACGTGACCCTTTGAGTTTGACCACAGTGAGGCCTGCAGGTGCCCGTTGCTTTTTTGGTCATTGAGCTAAACACTAACTTGGATAAACTATAATAATTAGAGGGATAGGTAACTCAACAATGCAAATTAGGGATTATTTGCTCACCTTTATGGCATTGCTGAACACTAAAGGAGATATTTAGGACAGGGGATATCAAATTTTTATTTACTTTTGGGGCCCACCTCATTCTCTGGTCAGTTTCACAAGGCTTCCCTATGCCTGACATTTCCTCTTATACTGAACGCTTATACTTCTTATTAACCAAGACATTTGTTTTGTCTTCAAGTATTATTCTATTGTATTGCAGTACTTAAAGCTCAAACAATCTTTAAATAATTAATACAGAAATTTAAAATATCATAAAAACATTTTTGTAGGATATTGTGTCACAATGGTAAATTATGCTGCTACATCATCATTATACCATATACCACATAACTTTCTATTTATTAACAAAATAAATAGACACAAAACAACAGTGGTGAGAAATCAGCTGTTAAGAAAGTGTTTCTTTATAATGGTGTGTAATGTATGTTTGCTTAGGCTCTGCAATTTAGCACTCCAGTCCAAAAAAGTTATATAATGCTTGTTTATAAAATTGTATTCAGTAGATTGCTTTAGATTAAGCAGCTTTAAACATCAAAATACAAAAAAATGTGTCTTGAAAACATGGTCAGTTTGGTTTTTAAGTGAAGTTTTACATACTAATCTCTAGAGGAGCATGTGATACGATTGATCGTGGTTTGTCCCTCATTCGTAATCAGCAATAATGCAATCAGATTGATCAAAGGCTACAATAAATTTACTGATTTCGCCCCTACTCCTTTATCTTCATTTTGGAAGAATCCTCTTTTCCATCCCATCTCCTCCTTTTCCTCCTTTACCAGGGGGAGCTCTCGAGACTTACCTGAACTCGGACCCACTTACTTGCTAATTGACCAGACAGGAGCCCTGGGCTCAATTATCTTAGAGCAGGGTTCTCTCCTTGGACAACATGTCCAACCTACTAATAGTGTCAAGCAATATCTAAGTGTATCAGAGTTATATTCAAGAGTTATATTCAACTTCTACTCTAAATCAACTCTTCAGTGTTTGTTGTTAATGGCCGACCAGCTGCTGAAGATGCAATAAAACATGACTTGGTGTCCCTTAAGCACAAGACAGTCTAACTGAGCACAGAGGAATTGCACATCAGACAGGAGTTACGTTTTATTTCACTTAATTTTGTTTCATGGCTTGTAACTTTTTTATGCCAACTTTTTACCAGGTGTATGTGTGCTGTAGTGAAGGAGGTTAAACAGAAAAGAAAAAAGCGTATTATTATAAATACAGTGCATTATTATAAATATAGTGTAATAAGTGAGCGTAAATATTGTGTCAGGGAGTATCTAATGTCAGGGAGTGATTTTCATTCTGTCAGCTCATCGCTATAATGAAAAATGCTTGGGCACGAATGTTGAAAAAGCTGTCTTAAAATGTTATCTTAAAGGAGACATATCAGAAAAAAGAGGATTTTATGTTTTCATTTTGAAGTAATACATTGATGTTGTGTGCAGAAATCATCACATTCATTTCTTCCCTTAGTGACTATTTAGTTTCATCAGCTTGGCCTGCCCTGATGAATGACAAAACGACCTATGCTGGTACAGTTAGCCAATCATAACAGGAGATCATTGTACAATAGAGCGCAACAGTTTCTGGAAGTAAAACATTCATTTTCTCCACAGGGGAATTGATGTTTAAAAATCAATTGATAAACACCAACACTGTTAATCGATTAGATATGGTTTAATCAAACCCATATGTGTGCATAAATTATTTTTAATAAAAAAAAAATTTCTTTAATTGCTGAATTTATTCAGAAAAGCTATATTTACCCATAATTGTTCACCAAAGAAAAAAAAAAGAGAGGGTTCTGTTATCAAAGAAGTAAAAAGAGATCCTTACCTCCACCCACTCCATATGAATCACTGCATATGACATCAGTCAACTCTCAAAATACTTATGTATTTTGAATGTATGTGCATGTTTTGCATTAAACATGAGATACACACTTACCGGTTGCTTTATTAGGTACACCTGTAAAACTGCTTGTTAATGCAAATTTATTATCAGCCAATCACATGGGCATGTAGACATGGTCAAGTCGATCTGCTGCAGTTCAAACTGAACATCAGAATGGAGAATAAAGATGATTTAAGTGACTTTGAACGTGGCATGGTTGTTGGTGCCAGACTGGTTGGTCTGGTATTTCAGAATTTGGTGATCTACAGGGATTTTCACATACAACCATCCCTAGGATTTACAGAGAATGGTCAGAAAAAGAGAAAATATCCAGTCAGCAGCAGTTCTGTGAGCGCAAATGCCTTGTTGATGCCATTGGTCAGAAGAGAATGGCCAGACTGGTTTGAGCTGACAGAAAAAAGCTACAGTAACTCAAATAACCACTCGTTACAACCGAGGTATGCAGAAGAGCATCTCTGAATGTTAAACCTTGAGGCAGATGGGCTACAACAGCAGAAGACCACACCTGGTGCCACTCCTGTCAGCTAAGAACAGAAAACTGAGGTACATTTCGCACAGGCTCACCAAAATTGGACAATAGAAGATTGGAAAAACGTTGCCTGCTCTGATGAGTCTCGATTTCTGCTGCGACACTGGAATGGGAGGGTCAGAATTTGTTGTCAACAACATGATAGCATTGATCCATCCTGCCTTGTATCAACGGTTCAGGCTACTGGTGGTGGTGTAATGGTGTGAGGGATATTTTCTTGGCACACTTTGGTCCTATTAGTACCACAAGAGCATTGTGTCAATGCCACAGCCTACCTGAGTATTGTTGCTGACCAAGTCTATCGCTTTATGACCACAGTGTACCCATCTTCTGATGGCTACTTCCTGCAGGATAACCCACCAGATCATAAAGCGTGAATCATCTTAAACTGGTTTCTTGAACATGACAATGAGTTCACTGTACTCAAATGGCCTCCACAGTCACCATATCTCAATTCAACAGAGCACATTTGGGATGGGGTGGAACGGGAGATTCGCATCATGGATGTGCAGCCAACAAATCTGCAGCAACTGTGATGCTATCATGTCAATATGGGCCTAAATTTCAAAGGAATTTCTCCATGACCTTATTGAATCTATGCCATGAAGGATTAAGGCAGTTTTGTAGGCAAAAGGGGGTCCAACCTGGTACTATTAAGGTGTACCTAATAAAGTGGCCGTTGAATGTTTTGTTTATTTGGTAGATAAAACCAAACATTCCCCAAAATGTCTCCCCCATTATTAATATTAAGTGCTTCTCTCATTAATGTCATTGAAAGAACATTGTACTTTTGTCATTTTGTTTGGCATTCATATACTTTTTTGCCTCTGATTGTAATGTTTTTAATTCTTCTCATAGCTGCTTGTTTTGGTTCAGGGTTTATAACACTTTAATTAAAATTTTGAAAAATAACTTGTATGACAAAATAAAAATCTTCAGAGCTGACTTGTGCAGCCACTTTAAACCGTGCAAATGCAATACAGCAAAAATAAAGTAGCAAATATGGATTAAAGGTCATTTTAAGAGGGTGTGGGGTTATGTTAAGCCTAATTAGGATTGTTTTTCTACAATACAGGTGGACTTCAGGGAGACATGTTAGAAAAGGGTTTTGAACAAGGCCCCTTTAATATCTGAAGCTCTCTGAAACTTCCAAAACTCCACAGGTTGTAGTGATCCCAGCCAAACAAAGCTGGCCTCAATCAGCACTCTAACAGAGCAGCAGCGAGCCCAGCGTTCCTCACAGTTTCCCATGAATTCCTGCCATCTGTGAGCACAGCCGTCAGAATGCGGCACGGATGATCCAAGCACCAAGGGAGAAAACATGCAACTGCAACAGCCAGTAGATACCGAGCTTAGATAGGGCTTTACTGCTGTGTTGCCCAAGCCTCTTTTCCACAATCATCTAACCCACACATTGCAACTTGCATGGCGAACTTGAGACCATTACTTTGGTAAAATGAGACTTTTGCAGAATATATCTATGCACGATGTAGTGTATTTTAAGCTTAATGCCAGGTAAAAAAAAAAAAAAAAACTATCACGTTTAACTTCTCCATGTGTTTCTGCTTGCATTGTCAGACGTTTGTAGGAGATTCCTTCAGCTGTGGGAAACATGAAAGAGGCTATCGGCTAGAAGTTACAAGCACCAACCCGCGCCGGGACTATTTTCATGGCCGCTTCCGGAATGTTCTTCTCACTTCCATAGCTGTGGTGCCGATCCAAAACCACACTGTGGTCAGCCTTGGCACAGCTGAAGGCCGCGTCATCCAGGTGAGACATGTTAGCATTAGCCTTCTCTCCACGCTGTAGTTCTAAAACCATGCGGTTCCATTTAAAGGCTACGTTTGCATATTTCAACCAGTTTCAGGGGGTTTGGGAGCAATGTTGTCATAGTTACTATAACTACTGGGAGAAGTACTCAGTTCAGTAACTGGAATTGTTTATTAGAAAGTTATTTCTGGTGAAAGACAGGTCAATTGTACTAGTTACAGTAAACAATCTACATGGGAATATTAATGTGTATGCTCCAGGCAGTGTTAGATTTGCCACAACGTTTCCTTGTAACATTACAACAATTATATTTTTTCTATATTTTTAGGTTTATCTATGCTTGTATTATTCTTACTAGGTAAGTTGTACTCTTATTTTGAAAATGGGAGAGACATGGAGAACAAAAAGAAGCAGATTTACAAACCAGGCAGCAACAAAAGCGTTCAAAGCTTGTCAGAATGCAAAATGGGCGATATACAATGACAAAAGTCCTGTGGCCCATTCAAGTTTTACGAACAACAAATAATAACTTGACTTCTAGTTTATCATTTAGTATCAGAAGTGTCTTATATCAGGGGTGTCCAAGCTTGGTCCTGGAGGGCCGGTGTCATGGAGAGTTTAGCTCCAACTTGCTTCAACACACCTGCCAGGAAGTTTCTAGTATATGTATTAAGTGCTTAGCTTTTCATGTGTGTTTGATTAGGGTTGTAGCTAAACTCTCCAGTACTCCGGCCCTCCAGGACCGATTTTGGACATCCCTGTCTTATATGAAAGGTAAAGGCCTCTAGATTACGCTTATTTTTTCAAAATATGATCATGGCTTTTAATTATTTAATTAGGACAGTATTGTCTGACTTTGCTTAGACAAAAGTCTTGCCACTTAACTGAAATAGAAGTTCATCAAGATTCCTTGGATTCATCTTCAATGCCTCCTCCAGCTTACCTCAGATATGTTCAATAATGTATATATCTGGTGACTGGGCTGGGCAATCCTGGAGCACCTTGACCTTCTTTAATTTCAGGAATTTTGATGTGGAGGCTGAAGTATGAGAAGGAGCGCTATCCTGCTGAAGAATTTGCCCAGTCCTGTGGTTTTTAATGTAATTGGCAGCACGAATGTCTTAATACCTCAGGCTGTTAATGTCGCCATCCACTCTGCAGATCTCTCTCACATCCCCATGCTGAATGTAAACCCAAATCATGATTTTTCCTTCACCAAACTTCACTGATTTTTGTGAGAATCTTGGATCTATGTGGGTTCCAATAGGTCTTCCGCAGCATTTGGGATGATTGGGAGGCAGATCAACAGATGATTCATTGGAAAAGTCTGCCTTCTGCTACTTTTCCAAATGATCAACTAGAAGTCAAGTTATTATTTGTTGCTCTTACAACTGGGATTAACGACAAGACTTTTGTCAGGTAGTGTACATATTATAGATTTATTCCCCGCCATCCCGAAGAGGCATAAGGTGGATTTAACTTTTAGTTTAACATGTATATTGTGAAATTTGCCGCATATTTTTTTATGTTGCTGACTTTAAGAACATACACAAATTTATTATTATCATTAAGAGGAGAAGCCTTTCAAGATGAATCGTCTCATTTTCAGGAGGGTCTTCAATATTCAAAATCACAAGTATATACACAAATGGCAGATACAGCAGTGCAGTACTACAGCTGCATCAATGCAGTAAACCATCAATACAAGAAAGTAAATACAACACAACACAATTCACCCACAAACACATATACACACTCTCAAAAAGATGTCTAACCACACAATAATATGCATGTTTAACATTATTACTGTTACAATAGTTATTGAACAATATTACAATAACTACCTCCTGAAATATAGATATTCAACCATATGCAAAAAAATCTGAAACAAATAGAAGCATTCTGTAAATAATGTACAACAGCAAAATACATCTCTGTCAGCCCCATGTGTCATGTAATTTTAATTTAGCCTATATTTAATCCACAGCATGATTTTGTTTAAAATTGGGTTACTCTGATGGCATGAAGATAGCTCACCTACTACTAGCTCAAATAAAGTTCTCCATTACTTTAGCCAAAAGTTTTCTTAACAAGGCATCTACTCAATTTGTTCAAATATTTTTAGGCAAATGGAGTATGATTATCTGGCATGTGTGCTTTTCAGAGTACATGAGCCTGGTGGTTAGTTTTGTATATCTAGTGCAAACACCCTTCTGTATTCCTACACTGCCAGTACTAGAACGGTATGCTGTATGTTAATGTACAATGCATGCTTTTCCCCCTTTTAATCTGCCTAAAAACATAACATAAAATACTTTATGACTTTATTCATTTCATTTTGTGCTGCTGACATTATTACCTATAAAAATTGAAATGCTTGTGACTCATGTCTCTCAAGTTTTGACAAAAATATCATAGGTGAAGTACATCCTAGGTCAGTTGACATGTATTTAAATAGAACTTTCTGTACATGTTCAGCATAAGTCATATTGCTAGAAGGATGACTAATCTCAGTCTGGGAAAAGGAATGGTGAACATTTGCAGTATCTAAATTAAAATGTAATAATTATTTTAGTTGCCAGCACTATTTCCCTGTGTTATTGTGCATGTAAATAGGCAGGATGTAAGTACGTGACTAGTGAAAACCGCTCTGAATGTAGGAAAATGCAGGTGCCCGTGGCAGGTTGGGAAATACGCTCTTTTCCTGTTTGCCTTTGAGTGACCTTTGACCTCTGATCAGTGCTGTAACATCTGAAAAAAGCACACGAGGTAAATCTATCAGTAATTTCTCAACATGTTTATTGTGCAGAAATGGCACCAACCCAAATATTGAATCTGTCCTGCATGAGCACCAAAAAAAAATTGAGAAGCGCATACGGAAGTGTCAGATAGAGACTTGTGGTATTTCGTAAATACGGCAAGAAAAATGTTTGAGAAATGAGTGGCGAGAGAAAGGGTGACAGCTGCACGGAAGCGTGGCGGAGGAACCCAATGGTACGTTAATAGTAAGCACTGAGCCTCGATGACACGTCTTCGCATGGCATTTTCTTGGAACGGCTGCAGCTGTCGTTCCTTCTCTCTCTCTCCCTTTTCCTTTTTTACATTTTTCCTCTCAACTTCTTCTCGCCTCTTTTGTCTGCATTTTGAGGCCTGGTAAGGGGTGAGTGCGAGTCCAGCTGTCCCATTTGAGAGGTTTTCAAAGACAAAGAGAGTGGGTGAGTGTTTAAGAGGCCTTGACAATGAGAATGCTAAAAAAAAAAAGAAGGGCGATGAAGTTGGATAAAATATGGAATGCAAAAGAGTAGTGGGTCATTGTGTAAATGAAAGTTTCAAGAGCCTTACATGCCTTTAAAAAACAACATGCTGCAGGTGAACAGAGTACACAAATTAACTAATACAGTAGGCCTACTCTATACTTCTCATTGTTCTTCTCCAGTTGACTGATCAGTCCCTCCAGGATTTTGTGAGCCTAATAGTTTCTTGAGACCTAAAAAGAACATTTTTTTTGTGTATTTTTACAGCAAAATAGAAGAATTAAGCTAAATAGTGGTATAAGTTTTGAGAAAAGTCATTTTAGGTCACAAATATGAAAATCATTTCCCTGCAAAATCCTGGACGGGACTAACAGATACCATTGAAATTTCTTTTTTACAAGTTTTTTTAAATAAAAAAAAGTTATTTTAATTTAATTAAATTTAAAATACTTTATTCTAAATATATTATTATTATTCATTTCTTCATTCATTTTCTTTTTGGCTTAGTCCTTTTATTAATCCGGGGTCGCCACAGCGGAATGAACCGCCAACTTATCCAGCACATGATTTACACAACGGATGCCTCTCCAGCTGCAACCCATCACTGGGAATTATTATTATTATTATTATTATTATTATTATTATTATTACTTTTATTATTATTATTATTCATAAATTCATTCATTTTCCTTTGGCTTAGTCTCTTATTTATCAGAGGTCGCCACAGGGTTTCCATTAATAGTTTGAAGAGTAAAATGTCTCTAAATTACATAAAAATAAAGACACACAGATTACAACTATTGTAAAATAAAATAAAAGCATGTAACAAGTTTTCTGATGAGCTTGTTTAAATGTGCAAATGAGATTTTTTTATTAAAAATGTGGTAATTTGCATTAGAGTTGGAATTTAATACAGATGATTTTTGGGGAATATTTTGCTTCATCTCTCCATAATTCTGAAAATGTGGTGGAAACATTTTTTTTTTTTGTGGAACTAAATTTTGTATATGATCAGGTATGCTATGTATGAACATATACAGTATATATATAGCTCTGTAAAAAGAGCCATATGATATATCTCGTATCTGAATACAGATATGAGAATACTGTTCATACTGCTGTAACAGTTTACTGAAGAGATTTATGGCTCAGAGGAGTAAAAACACAAAGTTTTTGGACACTTTTAAGTAAACATAACTTTAAAAAACTATTGCAATTGAAATTTACAGAAACAAATAGTTAAAGTGCTACAAAATAAAGTGTAATTTGAATTTGTTTTCTTTCCATTAAAATAAAAACCTCTTAAACCACAGTGTTTTGTCTACACTGTCCCAGATTAAAAGGTCAGCAGCAGAGCCTGTAGTGCAGAAACAGTCCCAGTGGCCCTGATTCTCTCTGAGGAAGTTCTCCAGCTCCGCCACGCTCTCGCTGAGAAAAACTCAACACCTTGCCTTGTGTTTGTGAGCAGGACTTCCTTTTACATACACAATGAGCTGTAATTCACACGGTTATTAAGGCTCCGCTGTGTGGATTTTTTCCCCAGAGTGCATAACATTCCTCCTGCAATAACGGCTCCATTTGTAGCCATTTTCTGCCATGCCTGGGCTTAATTAAGCCTGGCTTAGCTTGGTTGCATCTGGGACTCAAAATCCTTTTATGGCTTATAGCGATTTTGGAAACTTTCTGGGACACATGACACTTGCCAGGTTTTAGCTGTATGGGTTCTGGATGTGTGTTGCACATTGC